TACTTTATAAATAGTTGCTCCCTCCCTCTTCCGTTTCCTAGTGTGTTGTAAGGAAATGGCTCTGTTATCGTGAGAGCAAATCTTAATGAATACTACAAACAAACTCAAGAAACAGTAGGCATGAAGCCAAAGACCAGCTTTGTCCGTTAAATGAAATGATCAGCAGACAGGCACAGAGAGGGACACTTTCTCCTGTCATCATACCTCCTACTGTGACTCGGAGAGAAAACTTGAATCAGGGAAAATGGTAACATATCTGCCTCACTGTCGCATAAATATTAGCAAAATTATCACCTTAGTTGCTGCATCTGGAAAATGATTGCATTCTTTAAGATCACCACATTGTTTCTTGAAATAACCACTAATGGTTGGGATGGTTTAAAGTGACAGATTCCAAGCTGGAAATTGAGTATTAAACGGAGATGCAGTTTCTTCTGTGATTTCGATCTAAATATAAAAGCGAATGTAATGATTGCCAGTGATTGATTGTGATTGATCTTGCACAGTAGTTCACGCTCGGCTGGCCACAGAATTATTATTAGTTGATTGGGTGCGTCTCTCCCTGCCCTTAAAGGAGAAGCTGCTGATGAAAACTGCAACTTTATTAGTGATTGTATGGGTAAATATTTGCTTATCTTACCATCATTTGGTACAGTTAAGCTGGTGCGTCTGTCGTGCAAGAGTATCTCGGTAATTAAAGATCATAACCTCTGGACTCCACATTGATTCCAGGAAGATGCTGGCGCTAACAGTGCCATCACTGAATGTCGGACAGTCCTGATAGTACAGCTGAAAACCATTACCAGTGCTTATTTCTGGAGCTTTCCCGTACCCCAGGGTGGTAATCAGTTTATGTGCGATCTGTTTTCAGTCAGCCCTAATGCCAAACATGTGCTTTCTGCCGACGAAAAGGTGACACCGTAACTAGAGCTTCATTTAGTACATTTCCAGGCTTAATCGTTACCGAATAGGTCGTTCATTAACTTAACATTACATGAACATAACGTTCATTAACAGGTTTGCAGACAGTCTGGTTCACCATTATATGTCCAGAGAAGCTGCCTGTGTGTGTGCTTTCCTTGTTTCTGTCTGTGTACATATGCAAAGTGTCATATTCCACGATAAAAACAGAAGCACAAGATCTCTGGAGGTCTGCCTACGAGTCGGGTTCTGTTACACTGGAAGGAAGATGCCAGTGTTCTCATTGAGTTTATCATACTTCCCCTGTAAAGCATTGAGTTTATACCATTTTTTACATAGACCCTCTGTTTGCTTTCCGTTATGTGTACAATGAGACATTGGAATGGCCTCTGTCTGACTCAGATTAATTTCACAAAAAGCAATTGAAAATAAATCTTTTTATTACATGTTTAAATAAAATTATTAGCCCACCGGGGAGGCCTGTGGCTTTGTGTTGACTCTAAAGGGGCGTGTTGTGTTCAAAAGGCTGGGGACTACTGCATTGGAAGGAGCTCGACAACAGTAACCTTACATCCTGTCCAGATCGACCAAGACTCCTTGGTCTTTTTGTTGTTGGTATTATTTGTTGTGTTAAGGGAGCAACCTAGAATCCAGTGTTACTGTCTGCTACAGCCAAGAGAATGTAATGGTTTTCCTAAGTGCGAAAAATAAATGAAGTTACATTTCTCACTGGGAAGACTGGATAAGCTATGAAACGTTCATAACCCCCATAAAATGAAGACTGAAAATGCTTCTTTTTCACTCATTCCCAACATCTGCTACCAGGCAGTGCTCAGTTTGGAACACTTCTGCTGAAAGAAACAAAGTGAACAGAAGTTAGCAGTAGTTAAAGTGACTTTAGTCATTAAATAAGGATGGTGAACTGATTTATTGAGAAGTTTCTCCTTTAGAATCGTAATCAGGGGTGACTTTGGTGTAGTAAACTAGCAGTTTGTTTCTGCTCTTTTTCCGGTGGGTACCTGATTTTTAGGGTATCATGTCCATGAGCAATGGTGAATTACAGAAACTAATATCATGTACGGTGCTTGCCCTTGTAGTTCAACTTGGTCTTCTGGAACCAGCAGGACCGTACGGTACGTTAGTAGACATGGAAGCTACAGTGAGAAGAAAAAGGGAAAGTTTGCAAAACAAAGAAAACATTTGAGCAACACCATCACGAGTTTCTGCAAAACCTGTCAAACCCTTCAGTTCTGCATAACATATTTTGCATAATTCATCCCACGGGGTCTCCCAGCCAGCTTCCTGATGAACTCCAGTAAACGGATTCAGAACAGTTTCCCTTCTCCAGACCCTGTTCCCTTTTCAAGGTACTGACTCTGTTTGAGATGTGATAGCTGGCATAGGTTTGTAAAATGAATTTGTTTACTTGAGAGCTGTATCACATGTATATTTCCTGTGAACTACAGGGGTGAAGTAATGATGTTTTATTTTTAACTCAAGTACATGTACTGTGGCCTTTTGTAACCAGAATGAAGTCAAATCTGGGTGCTAGGGTATTTATATGAGTTCAAGACAAGGTGCTATCTGGTTCTTTAGTGATGCCACTAAGTTTTTTGTTGCTTCCTGTTTACATTTATGTTACATTTGAGAATGCATGACATTTGCTCCCAGCGACATTGATAACATCATGTCTGACACGGCTGCATACATAAAAGTCCCATCCACATATCGTAACTGGTACGTTATTCAAAAAAACACTCATTTATTTTTCATTACATGAAGTCTTAAAAATGAAATATTGCTCAGAAAGTAAAAAAAAAAAAAGCTTTATATGAAAACTTATCGGAAGCGTGTGACATTTTAAAAAATATATAATTTGGCTTTTGTAAAAATTGCACATTGCCTTTAATATAATAAAATCTTTGCATTTTGTTTTTAGATATTTCCATAGAGTGAGAATGTGAAATACTCCCACACATGCTTATCAAAAATGTACCCAAAATTTTCACACCTCATTTTCCCATAGAACTGGCTTTTTATCGCGACTTCAGATTGAAGTACACGTGCACACAAAAAGAGAAATGTCGGACACCTTTACTGAAGACGAGGGGGTTATGTTATTTCATACACGATGAATCTGTCACATGCAACATGTGCTGCGCCGAGTCTGGAGAATCACACAATGACATTCCAGCTCAGAGTGACGTATCCTGACTACCAGAGCAGACAGAGTGCAACGCTCATGTCACTGCCTGTTGAAGAAATAATAATAATAATAATAATAATAATAATTGCTTACACTTATATAGCGCTTTTCTGGACACTCCACTCAAAGCGCTTTACAGGTAATGGGGACTCCCCTCCACCACCACCAGTGTGCAGCCCCACCTGGATAATGCGACGGCAGCCATAGTGCGCCAGAATGCTCCCCACACACCAGCTCTCAGTGGGGAGGAGAGCAGAGTAATGAAGCCAATTCATAGATGTGTGAAAAATGTGTGAATGAAGCCGTGTTAACGGCCTTTCTATGCCAAGCAAGCAATTCAGCAATCTTTTTAAATCCTCAGCCTTTAAAGATACACATGTTTCTTCCCTTCTATGAAATATGGGATGAATTGTGTTTTGGGCATTTGTGCGACTATTTAGGAAATAGGGCGTTTTTAACATCAGAGCACATAACGTGCTGCATGAGTGAAACATTTCATTACATTCAACTAAGAGACATTTAAGAGGAGGACAAAGCCATGTGTTTATTCCACATGTTATTCTGTCTTGTGACAGCAGTGTTTGTGGATAATAGTGCTGACCAGTTTTTAGGAACATCAATATTCATGGATTCTTAGTGGATTTGTAAAATACGCAGGTCAATACTCAAAATGTTTTGCTCCAAATAACACTATGGTAAAGAAGTAACTAATTTCTTATTGAGAAGTGTCATGACTAAATGTGACTGGTTTAGTCGTTTGTGGCTTTTGTGGTGAATATATGAGTCCATTTCAGCCAGTTGGTTCATTACAAGACTTAATATTTCATATTTCATCACAATGTTACTGTATCTCTTTGTGAAGCAGGAACTATATTCTTTACATAGTTTTCATACTTCATATAGAAGGGCAGATACTTGTCTATGACTGTACAGTCGAATTAGCAGCAATACATTTTTTGGGGACAATTTTTCTTTTATTACTGCTAACAGTTGAGAAATTGATGTGTGCAACTGAGCCTTTCCCATAACAGACTCCAGTACTGCGCCACACAAAGGAAGTATTTATTCAGAAGTGGGTGCTCTTTCACAATATGGAGAATCACCCGGGCAGCACGCTGTATATATTAAGCAGAACTATTGAATCTACAAAAAAAAACAGCACAAAGACTAATGCCAGATTTTCTTTTGCCACTTACCTAAATTAATTCTGACCTTATGGCCTGTTTGAAGTTTGACAGCTCAACGTTATGCGGTACCCATTTATCTGCGTGTACTATCATGATTACTCCAAAGATACTGTATATTGGCCTAAGCATTAATATGTTTATATTACATCTTGAATGTCACTTAGGGTGTTGTCAAAGGTATGTGGCTTACTTTCGCTCAAGGAGTGCAACTGGAATTCAAAAGATTTTTTGGGGTGTGTGTCTCATTCATAATAGCACCCGCCCTGCTGCTCCTGTTGTGTCACTCCCTCTCTGTATCTGGCTCAAGCAGAGCACTTAGTCATTGTGAGATTCTGCTGCACTCCTGCTGTGACGGCAGACAGCTTCCACATGATTCTGAAGCTCCCGATTGTCTTCTTAGTGGCAAGTGCTGCGAAGGTATGAAACTACTACACATTGATTTTACAAAGAAAACTCTGAACTATTGTGTAGGCCTGGCTACATTTTGCTATTCTAGAGGAGCTGTAGGATTGAAAGGCGGCAATCTTGTCCTGTTGTGCAAAGAGTTTCCCACGGTAACAACTTCAGAGGAGCAGTCATTCATATGGATCTGCTGTGATTTGGGATAAAGGATTCAATCGTCTGCATGTTTCAGCCACACAGTACATTGGAGGGCTTTGTAAATGACCAGGCTCTCTTGTCTGTAGGTTTCAGCTATGGTACCTGAATGAAAAGGAAAGCCAAGGACTGATTAACCAAGACCGTAAAATCAAGTAAGTGTTATATTAATTTTTACTCCTAACTCCGTTTCTCCTTAATCAAAACGTAAACTAACTGTGACATTTCTCTCTCTTTGTCATTTATTTATCGTGTCACTTACACACGTATCGTGTTGTCAAAAGTACTTTATGATTTTGTTATTCATTTTTGCCTCTTTTTATAAAAAAATTGTAATGTATTTTTAAGCAAAGTGTTAGTACTGCTGTTAGCCTTGATTAATATATATCATACATAACTACTGAAGCACTAAAATGAGAGGATGATTAGTCTTTTTTTAGTTAGTACATGGCTTGTTTCCATGAAGAGTGTTTTAACGTTAAAGGAGGTTTGTTGAGATGTTGTGGTTCTTCCTGCTAATTAATTTGATTGAGGCCTCCGTCCAGAGTGACTGAAATGCTGCTCTACACAGCTGAGAATTTTACTAGAGCATCCAGAGTGACGCCCCTTTCTCAGGAATACAACATCAAGGGTCCGCCTGGGATGTGAACCCAGAACCTCCCTCGTATCAGTCCCGAACATGAGTCGTTACTGCACCCCACTGCTCCTGATTTTTTCCTTTATTGGGTTTCATTTGGGTAAGAGAAGTCATTCATTCGATTGAATATTCCCAGAGTGAGCGAATGTCCATTTCGAAGAACTTTTTTTCTAGACGAATTGTGTTATTAAAAGTATAGAGAAATGAGCTGAGCTGAACCGCACTACTGAAATAGGAAGTGAAGTTGTCAGGAACGTTTCTGAGGGGGCTTTCATGCTCCACTGTGCATGGTATACTTCCAGAGACACCCAGAGCTGTATGACAATGATTCTGTGGAATAATCATGACAGGAAGTGTTTCTCTATTTGTTTTATACGCATCTTTAAGATGTCCAGCGATAGGTTTTGAGTTGAGCCATAGATAGAGAGATTCCACTCATTATAGTCAACCCTTCTTTGCCAAAAGCATTGCTGTACAGGTTTAGTAACTCGGCTTCGGAAATCTTTAAGCCAGTTTTAATGTCCCTCACAACTTTATAAACATCCCCACTTCAAAATTGTAAAATGACGGCCTAACATATTAGAGTTATAAAGGCTAATAGCGCAAATCCTTTGCATTCATACCTCTGCCAAGTTCATAGTCAGTAATTAACAGTGTTGAATTGTGAGTGTTAATAAGTTAACAGGATTTTTCTGAGGCATATGTAACATCTTTTCTTTGACGTCTTTATAACGAATGCTTAAGAGAAACTGAAATAGAAAAAGGCAGGTTTAAATTGCATTCCACAATGACTGAGGCTCCGAGTGTTACCATATTGGATATAAAGTTGTCAGAGTTGATTTATGGCTTTGCATCGTGGTTATTTTTTCTTAATGGCAGTTTTTGTATAGTTCCAAACTGAGGACGTGTTCAGGCAACTTTTGTTGATTTTTCTTTTTCTCATGGTGAGGCTTCTGCGTGGTTTCTGTGTCTGGGTTTCACAAGAGGCTTCAGTTCGTTATTCTGAAAATCGCCGCACAAAGCTAAAAAGGGACAATTGTACTTTCATTTCTCATCAGCAGTGTTGCCTGACAACTAAAAATAGAGCTGTCAGGCATGTGGTGACTCTAGAAAGTGGAAGCTCATGTATTGCCCATAGACTTGCTAAATTTCCAGAATTAACCTGCACCTTCAAAGTGAGAGAAGAGTTTGTCATGTACATTTGCAAAGCATTCGATCTGTAAGTGCTCTAAATATGGCAAAAAAGAATTCTTCTGTATCACCAGGCTGAATTAGCCGAGAGGAATTAACCTCAGTAGCTGTTATGGTAGCTCATTATGTTATCATCAGAGCTAAAATGTTAAACCAGCCGTTTACTGTGCAGTCATGCCCTTGAAAATTGAATTGTCGTGTAAATCTGGAATGCTGAAACGATTGCACACAGTTTGCACTGCTTATAGGCTTATGTTCCTGTTTCTCATGAATGCTTCGTAATGACATTTTTCTGATAGAAATACAATCTGGAGGCTCTCTCTCTATCTTTCTCTTGCTTCCCCTCACCATTTATCTGTACTGATTATCTGTCTGGGTATTATAGATATTATTCATCAGCCTTGCATTGTATTAGGTAGAACAACATACAATAATAGGTCCTAATAAGTGTTAATTACTATATATTCTAAGGTAGAATGTCTTTTTTGTTCTAATGGCTGAAGTTTAACATCGATTAACTAGGCCATCATAGAAAGTAGAGCACTGCAGAACTGTGCACAGAGGGCTTTCTAGGTCATTGTGAACAGGTACAGAATCGCCACTCCGGAGGATCGGCCTATATGAGTAACAGGTCATTTTTTAAATGCGTTTCAGCGAAGTGATTATGAAATATCTCCAATTTTGAACCGAAACGTGAGCGATTTCTTTTGAGTTCTTCTGTAATGGAAACGAGAAGACGTTCTTCGTTTCGCTATGTCTCTGTTAACAAGTAAAGGTTAACCGCGCGCGCTGAGTTGTTGGAAGAAACACCTGAAGAAGTCTCGGCACCCGAAATACTGTATTTCTTCTACTCTGACAGATGATGTCAGGACCATAGGCCTACACCCGTGTCTCCTGCC